AGTTTTATTATGTTTCTGTTTCACGAGACAAAAAAATGGTTTTATATTAACTGTTTATTTTCAACCCTCACAAGTGATCTTTAATTTTAGATGGAGGTCATTTAAGGTTTTTCAGCTTAATGTTTACCGTCAATAATCAAGTTAAAAGCTTTTAAACAATTTGGAAGTTGTTGTTTCGCCCTTTTACATCCTATGACTGTGTTATGTTGTCTAATTTTTGTTTAATTCAGTACAGTATCCTCGTTTTAAAAGCAGCACCTGAAGCTTAGCAAAATATTACACCATAAGACAGTCACTCATGTCATCCCCTAATAGACTCTGATCCGTTTAAACAGTGATTTCATATTGTGTGCCCCTGACACTGCAGTTCATAGTATGTCCTTGTCTTAATGGGTTTAATTACCGCTGCTAACCTTCACCATTTGTTTTCTTTCTTATCTGTACGCTTATCTGCGTTTGCAGGGAATATTAGACATGATCGTCCTGAGCCAGACAGAGGAGAAAAAAGACTTAATGATCCACGCATTGAAGAACAATTTTGAAGCTGATGCCTATTTTGTTAAAGTGATGGGTAAGTGACTGAGTGGTCTGAATTTCTTTCTTTATCTTCCTTTGTGTAAAATGATCAATATGAACAGCAAAAAAAGGTCTATTTCTCTCTAAAAGAACATTACACTCTAGCTTTGTTCCTATGTTTGCTGTAGCAGCCCCTCCTAGACCAATTAGACACCAGCAAGTCTTTTCTCCAATCTAGAGAGCAGATGGCCGTAACTATTATCTGTCATACAATTTAGATTTTCTAGTCTGCAGTTACTCAGTCGGTGCTGGAAACTGGAGCTCATTTGTGCTCTGTGTTCAATTCCAAACCCATTAGGTTCAAATGGACATTTTAAGCACTAAACTTCTTCTTCCCAAAGCCAATATATATAGCCTGACTTCTTCCCTGGGTTTAAAGCTCTCAGCTTCAATAATATTAAATTTTTATTTCTTTCTATTTTTTGAAGTATTATTTCTGAATCAGTCAATGTGGACTTACAGCGCCTTGAAAAGTTATACGGCACACTTTAAAATTTTTACACGATCCCAACGTAATCTAGGTGGACATGGTATGACAGACAGTATGGCAATATTTACCTGAAGAACGATGATGCAGAATGTACAGCAAAATAAGTA